AATCGACACAGGCGACAGACAAGAAGATGAACTAAAATGACAGATTACTTTTTTATACTCAAGGGGTTATGAAACGTCGAAAAAACATGAAAGTAGCCATTGGTCGAGTGGACGAAATAATTTTAAATTGTAACTCTAAATCAGGCTGCTTCAGTACAATATTTCTTTTGGTAATTTACGGTGAATAAATAATAATTTTCCGTCGCCTTACCTTTGCAACCTCCTGTATATATACATTTAATATACACTTCTTGCTTAATTTTTATATAATACATACAAATTTTTGATTTTTTCATTTTTGCAATATCATATTTTCTTATCAGAAGCTTGGTTAAGGGTTACTTACACAGGTCAACAAACAAGTGAATACTGTCCGTCTTGTTAAATATTTTTGTACTAAATTTACGATTAAAGAACATGGTTTCAAAAGCTACAACTTTATTTTTAATACTGCTTATCGTTAAAAATGTGTACTTGGATAACAATACCACCGACGACGTAAGTTTGCCTTTTAATAAAACTAGATTTCAAACTTCGTGTTTTCGAAATCTAATTCTGTCGAAAACAACTAACATATTTCACCATTTTTCTTAGTTGTCTGTAGTTTTTCCAAGCGTGACTTCACCGTCGACGAATTTTGAAAACACCATAAACGATGACTTTTCTAAAATAGAACTACAACTAGAACTGCGTGCTGTTCTTAGCGCCTTAAAAGAATTCATCCAGAACACAAAACAGGAAATCATCCAAGAAGTGGAAACCGCGCTTCAAAACAAATTCAAAATTTATGATACAGAACTAATTCTTGGTTTTTGAATAAAAAATTATCTCAATTGAAAATTTAGATATTTGTATTAAAACCATCGTACTAAGTTTTGAGTTAGGAAAGGATGTAAACATTGGTATATGTTTCGGAACACAGTACCTTCAAGAGGTAGGATTTATGGCTGGTGCACAAAATTTTCAATTTCATCGTGTTTTTTTTTATGAAAACGAGACATCTTTAATCGTTGGATATTAATTGTCGAATTTTTTCACATTATGGAAACTCGACAAAATAGCTCCCGACAAAATAACTTCACTACAGTATAGCTTCGACAAAATAGCTTCATGACAAAATAGTTCCGTCAGAATAGCCCAATATCTAAAAATCTCCACAAGGGAGCAAAAGTATCACAAAAAATATTTACATGCACTTTTCTTAAATTAAAATTTTTTGGTAAACATCATGGTTTATCAAAAATCAAAAACCGCATTTTTGGTTTTTTGAGGTCAAGTATAGTCTGGTTATTATTAAAGTTCATGACATAATTATGATTGTAGACGAGCAAAAGCATGTTTTCGTATTCAAAACTATTAGACATATCGACTCCTAACTTGTACAGATGTCTCTATTTTATTATTTCTGTTTTCAATTAAGTAATTGTCATTTAAGCTATTTTGCAAGTAGAGGCATATTCGCATATTCGCAAACTGAGTGATAATGTTAACTTTTGAGTTTGAAATAACATCTGCACTTCTGGAAATGGCTAATTTTGTTGATATTTCTGAAGCGGCTGTTCTATTAAATATTTCATTATTTGTTAAACTTAGCTGCTGTTGTGATGCTACTAGTGATGATTTCCATTTTCGTTTTATCTAACTCATTTTTTAGTTCTGTATCATAAATTTTGAATTTGTTTTGAACCGCGGTTTTCACTTTTTGGATAATTTCCTGTTTTGTGTTCTGGAGAGGACTGACGGATTCTTTTAACGCGCTAAGAACAGCACGCAGTTCTAATTCTAGTTCTATTTTAGAAAAGCCATCGTTGAAGGTGTTGTCAAAATTCGATAAAGTCGTTCTTGTGGAAACTACGGAAAACCAACAAAACTGGTGAAATATATTAGTGATTTTTGAGTGAATTAGGTTTTGAAAACACGATAAGTATAAAATATAATTTTAAAAGACAAACTTACGTCGTCGGTGGCATTATTAACCAAGTACACATTTTTAACATAACCAATATTAAAAATAAAGTTAATGCTTTTGAAACAATGTTATTCAATGCTAAATTTAGTACTAAACTATTTAATAGGACTGCTTGTGAATGTAATAGGTACTTGTTTGGTGACCTGTGTAAGTGACCCTTAACCCGACTCCTGATAAGAAAATATGTTAATGCAAAAACGGAAAATCCAAAAGCTTTAATACATGATATACTTGAATATTAAACAAGATGCGTAATGACATGTGTATATACAGGATGTTGCAAAAGTCTAGCGGCGGAAAATTATTTCTATTCACCGTAAATCACTAAGAGATTGTACTGAAGCAGTCCACCCGACAAATAACTACTTTCATGTTTTTCGACGTTTCATAATCCCTTGAGTATAAAAACCAGGTCTGCTGTTTTCATTTTGAGACGACGTCATCAGTTTTTTGCGGGGGACAAAGAGATAAATTTCGATTAACGACACTCGATGCTTACAATAACCCGAAAACGTAACATTGGGTTTTAGAAGTTTCAAAATTAAGTATGTAGTAAAATATTGTTACACTTTTTTTTCTAAAAATCTCGTTTTCTAGGGTAAAAACTCAAGACGGATTCATAAACCACGAGTGCAACAGTAAGTTTGTTATAGAATTTAAATACTCCTAACATTATTACTATTACAAGTTTTGAAGATGACGATCATTCCATACAAAATTTAACAAAAATCGGTACAGTAGTTTCGAAAATTATCTGTTTAATAAAAATCGACTCCGAGAGCGGACAGACGGCAGACAGCTACGCGGACAGAAAAGAGAGGCCGATTTTTTCAAATTCTAGCAGTTATAGAACGTCAAGAAAACAAGAAATTAGCCATTCGTCGGACCTTATTATTACAATACTTTCTTAGCTTATGCTCTGGAAGTAAAAATTGCGCTATATAATACACACCCTTTCGTTTGGTACATAAGTATTTACAGTTAAGTTCAGAACCGTACCCATATAAACAATAAATTTTAGATTGTTCACCGATAATAATTTATTGAAAACATGTCTAGGTAGATTTATTTTGTAACGGTGATAAAATTCTAGCAACGTCACTTTTCACAAATATGTGCATTAAGTAAAGAAAGATAAATCCTACGTGCGCAATATCACACCCGTGTAAATGATAAATGAAGATTTTCATCGATGATAAACAATTTATTGCAAACACTTAGTAGATAAACACTGGTTTCGTAACAATTTCTTACAAAATATAGATGAATCAGCGACTAAAATACATGTTGACAAGCAACTTAATTTAATAAAACTAACAAAACTATGGCGAAATGAAATTATAAAATGCAACAATAACCTACTTTATTTTTTGCAATTTAATTTTGAATCTACAAAATCGAATGTTTTTTACTAAAATGAATGAACGACTGAATTTTTGACTCAGCCTGGTTAAGTAATTCTAAAAACCTATCTGTGTTTATAACTGCATCTTAGTGTATCGTTTATTCAGTTTTACTTTTGTTAAATACCGTATACCGGGTGTCCCACGTAACATTTTCGGGTGCAATAACACAGGTACTTTTGAAGGGATTTTTATGAAATTTAAAACAGGTGCAATATAATAGGTAAAGATTATGCTGATGACAAAAAAACTATTTTATCGTACAAAAGACGAATTTTAACACAGCTTCAGGTTTTTAAAAATTATGCAAAATTTCGTTATAACTTTAAGCAACTAAAATAACGCCTGTGCGCGAAAAATTAATTAAATCACTGTTTTTATTTAAAAAAATTACGTTAATAAAAAAGCGAAAATTAATTCATTTGTTTTATTAACTTTAATAAATAGTGCTGTCGGTGCAAAACAATTGCCTGCGTCGCCGAGCTCAATTTTGTACACTCCTTACATTTTTGTCAAGATCTGACAAGTTATTGAAAATGGTTCGCTTTTCTTTAATCTAGGACTCTTACCGAACGGTATCCTGATGACGAATTTACCAAATTCAAAGTACAGACAAAAATAAACTTATTTGAAAATATGGGAAGTGTACAAGACCTAAACCGAGTGAAAAAACAGGGTGTTAAATACACCTATCAAAAATATTTCCATTCAAGTTAGAATTAATTCCTGAACCCAAAGCAATTGCACGTTCGAAAAGGTTGTAGTGGAACAACTGAAAATTAGTATTTTCTTAAAATTCGTAAAATGACACTTGGCAAACAGGTATCAAATTCCCGCAAGGATGTCCAAAATGTAAGGATAGCAGTTTTTTGTTTCATGGCTACCTATTCTTTAATATTTTTTGGAATTATTTGCGCAATAATTTATCGTTTTTTGTCTAACCAGATGTATTTCGGAGATGAATTTTTGCACACAGTATTTATTTTTCATCTTTAATCGAGTGATGCGAGACTTAATTAATTCAAAATTAAATTAAGGCATGCAAAATCTATTTTTTCAAGATAATGGTTATTCTTACCGGTTCATATTAATCCCCACCTATTAAAATACCTACATTTCAAATTTGGTAACAATCTGAGTTATTGCGCCCGAAAGTGTTAAGTGGGACGCCCGGTATATATTAATGACGTGGTAAGACTGGTAAGCTATGTCCTTTAGAGTTCAAACGAAAAATTTTAAATAAGTCATAGGTGTGTGAAGAACAAGCTTCGCTTTCGGGCTGTAAATCGAGTCAGTGTCGGTGTTTGCACTCGTGATATTTTCCTAGGCAACATGTTCTGAAGTAACCTCTTAATTTAATCGCATAAATGAATAGTTTTTATGGTATTTTATTTAAATGTTTTTAACGTACAATTTAAGAAGCTCCAGAACGACATACTCAGAACGGAATGTCCAATTTGAAGTGATCATATTTATTTAACACTTCAGTTTGAGATAAGTAATTTAAAATATGTCACCTGATTTTAAAAATTTGTTTATCTTATCAAAAACAAATAACGAATTTATTACCGCCCATCTATATGTAATATGTAAAAGGATGTTTCTCTTTTACTTATGTAAAAACCACTGTGTAGTTAAGAATCTGCAGTCTGTTAGTGACTTAAATTTGAAGAATGGAGAAAATCGAGGTGAGTGTTTTTATTTATTTATACATAGAGGTATACAGAAACCCAAAAACTTGGTTGCTAAGAGTGCAATAATTTTTATTCAAGTGCATTATTAAAATTGTAAATCAAGGAATACTATTTTTTTGTGTAATTTTTTTTTCTGGTTTCACTTTACTTATTTTAAGTCATGATATTCACAGTTGTCCTCGGTCTGTTGTACAGAGTGAAAAGAACAATCAAGTTTTATAAATTTTATTCACTAAGTTAATTTTCACAAATTTAGGTATGTTTTTCTAAAACGTCAAACTTGTGTTTGATATAATCAACAATACGTCGAAGTCGATGATTGTTTTTGTTAACATTTTAATAGTTGCCTTGTTCTCTTCTTCAAACTTAAATATTATATTTCGAGATTTCATTTATTTGACGCAAGATGAAATCTCCTGGAATCTGTGTTATGTAGATTTTCTAAATTTGTTTACTTTAAATTATATGGATGCTACCCTCCACGTCACTGTCAGTTCATCATCATCATTGAACTATATTTAAAAACTTATACAAGGTAAAGTTTTGTGTCCATCCTTACTTAATGAACTTAATTAATTCATTTTTGCTAACGACCAATCGAAGTGTGAATTTAGTACATTTAAGCCATTTGTGTTTCTTCTTTTGTATGCCTACTGTTTTTTGAGGGTTTATTTTTGTCTCTGGTCGAAAACAAACCTCTTCATATTATGAGTGATACTAGATTTATTCCAAGGCTGGAACACGTGAACACCGAATGTCTGATAAAATCGCAACTGATTTTATCAGACATTCGTACAGAATTTGAGTCTTTGAAAAAGCTCCAGAACAATAAATTCAGAATGGAATTTGCAATTTGTAGTGATCATATTTATTTAACACTTCAGTTTGAGATAAGTAATTGAAAAAGTCACCTGATTTTAAAAATTTGTTTATCTTATCAAAAACAAATAACAAATTTATTACCGCCCATACCTATATAAAAGGACGTTTTTCTCTTACTTGTGTAAAAACAATTGTGTAGTCAAAAATCTGGCTGCTGTTAGTGACTTAAATTTGAAAAATGGAGAACACTGAGGTGAGTGTTTTTATTTATTTGTACATATAGCTATACAGAAACCGAAAAACTTGATTGCTAAGAGTGCAATAATTTTTATTTAAGTGCATTATTAAAATTCTAAATCAACGAAGACTACTTTTTTGTATAATGTTTTTTTCTGTTTAAACTTTACTTATTTAAAGTACTAATATTCACAGTTCTCATCGGTCTGTTGTACAGAGTGAAAAGAACAACCAGGTTTTATAAATTTTATTCACTAAATTAATTTTCACATATTTATATTTTCCAAAAATGTCAAACTTGTGTATGATTTAATACGTCGAAGTCGATGTTTGTTTTTGTTAACATTTTAATATTTGCCTTGTTGTCTTCTTCAAACTTAAATATTATATTTTGAAATTTGATTTATTTGACGCAAGATGAAGTTTTGAATCGTAGTTTTTCTCGTTTTAATTTTATTGTTTAAGACATCATGATATTTAAGTTTGAAGAAGACTCCCAGCCGGGAACTGAAATGTAACAAGATAAGAATGTTTTAGTTAGTTTTTATTGACCTCAAAAAAACCCACAAGGTTTATTTTCGTTTTGATCAAGTTGTTTGACGATTAATTTAATTTAAACATGTAGGTATTTATTTATAAAATGATAAATTTATTTTTTAAAGTGAAATAAATAACTTAAGTAAAACGTTTCAAATAAAAAAAAATCAGAAAATCGTAGATATAGATCCTTTTTAACGCCTTGTATAATAAACAACTATTCTTCCACATACAATAAAAATTATTATAAATCGAATAATAGCAGAGATATTGTTAGGTATAAATTAAAATACAAAAAAATACCTATTAACATACCTAGGAATGTAAATAGTACCATAACCGCCGCAGCCGTCTGTTTGAAATCCGAGCCTTAGCGATGATTTTAAGACGGCTAAGGTGGTAAGGCACCGTTTACATCCGTGGTGTGTTCAAGATTTTATCGGTTTTTGCCCATTTTAATCCAATAATTCAAAAATTAATTAAAAAATAAATAAATTTGGTTGATCACGTTTGCATGATACATTTCGGTGTCATAGTTACAGTTCGTTGTTTACTCAAAAAATTGTTTTTAACAGAATTAGAATAATGATGGATTTAGGCGACGTATTGCCCGAAAATGTTAAAAATGCCGCCAGTCAAGGGTTAAACAGTTCAAATAAAACCGGTAATAGTTATTTACATTATGAGTGCGGAGGGTGGCATGGGACCGAAACCTGCAAAATGCGTAACGCACGAAAATTGTATTCAGTTTTTTCCCCGACATTGAGTTTATTTTAAAAAATATTTCATTTTAATAGATATTTATTTTATTAGGAGTTTAAGTGATACTTTATGTGGGGAGAATGGACGATTAAACGCCGAGCGATAGCGAGGCGAATTAAGTCCATACGAGTCACATGAAGTCACTTAAACTCCGAATGAAATACATACAATATTTTATTTTCAAACGATTAATCTTCTTTTGAAATGATTATTTCCTATCTTCTTGCTTCATTAAGGAATTGCCTTGATTTCACTTACCATGGTTACTATGGTTGACAACCACTATGATTTTCACATATTTATACTCCGGCGGAGTATAAATGTTGTATTTATACGCCGGCGGAGTATAAGTAGTAGCATGGCCGACTAGTATAAAGATTATGGCCTGTCCAAGAGGTACCATACGTGTTGCCATCTATTAATAATTACACTTAATAATTTTGATAAATTTTAATTTGATTTGACATTATGAGACTTCACAACGTGTTAATGGTGGTTTGTTTCGGTATGAATGCATTTGTGCCTTTCAAAAAATGTTAATAATTCTTTTGTCGTGTTTGAATTATTAATAGATGGCAGCACGTATGGTACCTCTTGGACAGGCCATAATCTTTATACTAGTCGGTCATGGTAGTAGTTATACGCCGCTCAAACACGGTGTCATAGAAATGACACTTAAACCCCGGTAAGAGCGTCATATAAGTGTCAGTTATATGACGTTTGAAAATAAAAATATTTTTGGCCTCCTGACATGTAAACGTCAAATTAACATTCAAATGACATCTTCGGAAATATCAAATTTACAGTCATCCTGGATGTTTACCACCCGGCGTGCGTAAAAATTGCCCAAATTGTCCGCTCTTCCTAGACGTTTATAAATAAAAATCTCTTTACACAACGAAAATATAATGATTAAAATGCCAAATACATAAGTTATTTATTGTTGAACAGCAATGTATCATATAATTTCGAATATTTTTTAGTTCAAACGGAGGTACGCCATCTTGTGTATTTGTGTGCACCAGTTACAGATCACTGTAATTGACATATTCATTGACAGTTATGTTTGTTTTATTTCTGAGTTTATGTGAAATTTAATAAAAAATATAAATGATTTTTAAAAATTGTCGGCCAAAAAGTTTAATACAAATCTTGTGCGTTAACCATTTTACAGCGCTCAATCATTAAAGCACTCCGGCTTCGCCGTCGTGCTTCAAATTTATTTCGCGCTGTAAAATGTAAGTTACCACACGCGAATGTAAATAACTATTTCCGAAATGGCAAGAAATGAAGTGACAGTTTCGGGACTTGACGTTTACTGAAGGAATCTATAATGCCGACAGCCACGAGATGGCGCCATGTGATTTTTTTTTAAATAATTCATTTTTTCTAATTCAAAAGTTTTGATTGAACAAAACATTATGTAAAGTAGTGTTCTAGTATGTTTTCTTTTATTATATATACAGAACTTTTTTTATTAGAGCTTCTAGAGGCTAATGCATATTGAGTTACTTTGACACCCAAAGGCGGTAAAGCGAGGGTAAATTGATATTTGGTGCGTAAAGTCACTGTTACGCGGCATGTCAAACGTGTGTGAATGTTTTGTTTACATGTCAAGAGGGGAAAAAGTTACTTACTTTATTGCTTTTCACATTCATTGCTTTTCAATTCCTTGACAAATGTTGACAATTAACATTTCGGTAAGGTAATATTATTACCCTACCGATTTTACATACAGGATACAGTTATGACTCTTCTACCAGCCAACTTTTGCGAATGTAAACAAGCATTTAACAGACAGAAACCGGTAAAAGCTATTACAGTACATATTTTTTTTATCATCCAAACACAATAATTACAGAATAATTCATTTTCAATGCAGTTGTTCGTCTATTCCTTTCCAGACTTTTAAAAAAAGACCCGGTACAAGTGACAGAGGAAAAGATTATGAAGATGTGGTTCTCGCCAATGTTGTACTAAGACTATTAAACGACCCCGGAGTAAAAACGTTCCAAATTTCATCAAACGATAACGATTTTGGGACGTTTGATGATCTGGTCATTAAACTTGCATCGGATAAGGAAAACGACATTCAAGTAAAAGCGGTGCAGTTGAAACATGCCGAGACGAAAAAACTCACTGTAGAAGATTTGCGAACCGTAAAAGGAAAGTTAAGTATTAGAAAATACTTTCAAAGTTACAAAGAAATTAAGAAAAATATAGATGAGTTAATTTTGTTCACAAATAGCCCGTTTAACCCTCCCAACAACGAAACATTCCAACTTAAGGGCGAAGGATTTTACGTCAAGCTTATTAAAAAAGAAGTTAGCTCAGACATTTCAGAAAATGTTGGTCACGTTTATCAGTTTGAAATAGTAGATGATCAATCGACAGCAAAGGATTTTCAAAGAATTCAAGAATATCAGGAATTTTTTCGCAAGTTTTTTGTCTATACCGACCAAGAAAATTGTGATACTTTAAAAAAAATAACCGCTAACAAATTCAAGACAACATATTGTTCAGATGACGAAACATTCGGTAAATTCCTCAGAACAGTTGCTGAGTGGAGCGCCCAAGATGGGAATAAAGAAAAGATAGATAAAAAGTGGGCACAGCTTGTACTTGCGCTGCATCTGCTGTCCTCTCATACTGAGTCTCTATTTTTCGGTCCAGTTGATGACAAAATGAAAATTTTTCGGGAAGCGATTTCCTTCTTTGATGTCACACTGATTGAAGACAAATCGGTCGAAACGGTTAAGCAACTGTGGGGTGATGTTGGAAAGGAAAAAAGTATTAATTTTGAGCAATTAAATAAAGTTAGAAGGAGATATCTACCTACTCTCGCACATATTAATGCAAACGACATCGGCACCATAGATCCCAAACCGTTCACTCAACTGTTGTGGCTAACGGCCGATTGTCCATTAATTTTACGTGAATGGGAAAAGATGAAAAATATATTACAGCTGTGTGCCGATAAAAAATTCGTTTTGGTTGGCGGAACTAAAGATGAGGAATGGATGAAAAAGTATTCCGTGTTTCAAAATTTGTCAGACTTGAGTTTGAAGCACGAAATTCTAAATATAATGCAAAATTTTACCATTTCCATTCAGGGAAAGGGCGAACTTGATCTTGTAACATCTTTTGGCAGCAATGAAGATATTTTCAAAAATGTTTCAACTGATACCCTCGTCGAAATGCTGAACGGTACATGTTGCATAGGAGGAACAAAAGAAACACTAGCCGAACCTTATATAGAACGCTATATTTCGCGAAATGTCGTTGATAATACATATTTAGAAAAAGTTCACGAAAACACAATTATTATTTTAAATTCTGCCAATAATTTAGACAAAGTTAAAAGCATACTCGATAAATGTAAATTAATTGACATTAATAACTTCTTACTGAAAAAAAATCAGAATGGCGAAAATCTAACAAATAATGACGTTAACGTTAATGAACCGAACAGAATTTACGTAGGTAACAGAAAAAAAAAACAGTTAAATTCTAATCTAAACGACAACAAATATAATTCTCATTTTGATAAATCAAGTTTTGCCAACACAATTTACGTTGGTACTAGACATTATAAAAATTCTGAACTTCAACAAATTTATAACGAGCACAAAGAAACAAAACAATTTCATTATTTTAAAATTTTGAATGATGGAAATTTAGAATGGCTATGTAGCAGAGGTGATGTTAGTGATGTAGAGGCTTACAAATTACCTGACGAACATCCAACCGAAGAAAATGCCTTGTGGTCTTCTCGGTTAGATTATAACATCAATCTTATAATTGGAGATCCGGGAATGGGTAAAAGTGAGCTAGTGAAAAGCTTAAAAAATACATGTTCTCGCGAATATTGGACCGTTTTAATTAATCCCAAGGATGTTAATTTATTTTTTCGCAATCCCAATTTCTCTAAAACGGAAAATTCTTCAGATTTATTTGTTAAATTCATCACAAATAAAAAATATGAGTCTCTCAAAAAACTAGATCTAATGTTTTTCGAAATGTGCATAAAGAAAAACAACGTAATTTACGTGTGGGACGCACTCGATGAAATCTTAAATGATAAATTAGATGCCGCTTTAAATATAATTCTCCATCTTTCAACAAAAGGGTTTCGTCAGTGGGTTACAAGCAGACGTCATTTAAAATCAACTCTAGAAAATAAATTCAATTTGTTGTCACTTAGTATAAATCAATTTAACGAACAAGAACAAGAAAAATATATCAGAAAACGTCTAGAATCTTTTAATTCAGAATACAACATTGACGTAACGCTGGAGAAAATTAAATCATCTTTTGCGATTGTAGAACACATAGATATACTAGGTATCCCTCTGCAAATATTCATGCTTACTGAACTGTTCCGTGAAAATAGCGAAAAATATTTGAAACTTATGGACAACACATTCGTCTTGACTGACCTTTACGAATATTTTATTCAGGAAAAATTTCATAAATTTTACAAAGACAAAATGGGATACGATTTAGAAAATCCACAATTGGAAAATGTAATCTGGCAAAAAAAACTAAAGGCTACAAAATATTACGAAAATGTGTCCTTTAGAGTAATATTTGACGAAGAAATTATGCAGCGACTGAATATTAATTACGAAAAATGTGCACAAAAACTTTTGCGAAGTTATGCCTCTCTGGGTCTTGTAAATGACTTTCAAAATGATGTTCCACGTTTTGTGCATAGTTCCTTCGCTGAATATCTAGTTGCTAGGTACTTTTCAGAAAATATTAATAATTTTAAAGACACAATTGCGGACTTGTTGTTTGACGCAAGGTATAATAACGTTCGATTCTTTTTTGACATGTTGTTGGCTAAAAACTCAAAAGCTCATATTGCTGTATTGTATAAACGTTACGAATTACTTAAAATGTATGACGACGAAATTTTAAATAGCAAAGATAACGGTGGCAGAAGTGTTTTACATTTGATTTCCTCATGGGGGCAAAGACATCCGCGTGTAAAATTATTGCATCTACAGAACGAGTGTTTAGTGATCGATTGGAATCTCAATAAAAAAGCGGAAACCAAAATATACTTTGAAACGATGACGTATTTGCAACGAAAGAACGATGCTGCCGAACGTGATATGTTGTGGGATACAACTCCTTTGTTTTATGCCCAAAAAAGTGAGAGCCTAGGAGCACAAATACAATTACTGAAAACAAAAAAGGATAAGTTGAGACAATCTCGCGACGACATAATTAATGTTATATATTATTCTGCATTACTGGGTTACGACGACTTGTGTGAAGTCTTCACAGTAGAAGAATTGAAAAATTTTTGGCGGCGCGAATTGGAAATAATAATTGCAGAAAATGATGAAACACCTGGTGTCGCCATCAATTGTATTAATATGTTCGGTGAGACACCACTTTACACAGCTTCTTTTAACGGTCACGAAAAAGTTGTCGAATACTTGGCGACAGTCGGCGCCGAAATCAATCGCGCTAATAAAAACGGTGCAACACCACTTTACGTAGCTTCTTCTAACGGTCACGAAAAAGTTGTCGAATACTTGGTGACAGTCGGCGCCGAAATCAATCGCGCTATGAATGACGGTGCGACACCACTTTACGCAGCTTCTTTTAACGGTCACGAAAAAGTTATCGAATACTTGGTGACAGTCGGCGCCGAAATCAATCGTGCTAATAACGCGGGTTTTACACCACTTTACCTAGCTTCACAAAACGGTCACGAAAAAGTTGTTGAATACTTGGCGACAGTCGGCGCCGAAATCAATCGCGCTATGAATGACGGTGCGACACCAATTTACATAGCTTCACAAAACGGTCACGAAAAAGTTGTCGAATACTTGGCGACAGTCGGCGCCGAAATCAATTGCGTTGAAAAAAACGGTGCGACACCACTTCACGTAGCTTCACAAAACGGTCACGAAAAAGTTGTCGAATACTTGGCGACAGTCGGCGCCGAAATCAATCGCGCTAATAATAACGGTGCGACACCAATTTACATAGCTTCACAAAACGGTCACGAAAAAGTTGTCGAATACTTGGCGACAGTCGGCGCCGAAATCAATTGCGCTGAAAAAAACGGTGCGACACCACTTCACGTAGCTTCACAAAACGGTCACGAAAAAGTTGTCGAATACTTGGCGACAGTCGGCGCCGAAATCAATCGTGCTACTAATGAGGGTTGGACGCCACTTTACGTAGCTTCACAAAACGGTCACGAAAAAGTTGTCGAATACTTGGCGATAGTCGGCGCGGAAATCAATCACGCTGTTAGCGACCGTTGGACATCACTTTACGCAGCTTCCGCTAATGGCCACAAAAAAATTGTCGTATATTTGGCGACAGTCGGTGCTGACATTAATCGCGGGGATATCGACGGTTGGACACCACTTTACGTAGCTACTTTCGCCGGCCACGAAAAAGTTGTCGAATACTTGACATCAGTCGGCGCCGACATCAATCGCGCTGATGATGACGGAAAAACACCACTTGACGTAGCTTCTGAAAATGGTCACCAAAAAATTGTAGAACGCTTAAGAAGAGCCGGCGCTCAAACCGGGCATCATTCCTTTACAAGGGATCGTCAGAAATAAAACTTCCCCAAAGCGTCCAAATGCAGTGTAATGTAGTAAGGAGACTGCTCTTACTTGAAAATAGTATCTCATTAAATTAGACGAGGCATGAAGAATAATATCCAAAAATAAACCTAGTTATATCCTAAGGATTTCCAAAAAAAATTTCAGTTTATTCCGAGGTTTTTAATTAATTTAAATAATAATGTAAAGTCTGTAAATTGTTATCGTATCCGGAAACAATAATGGGTATATGTTTGTATATGTCCACAAAGGATAACTCCCATTGTAGTTAAAAATAGAAAACTAGGGAGCATAGCACCAATTTAAATATTTGCAACAAATCAAACGTATCTTCTACCCGGACAAATGTATTCACTCATTCCAGTATCCTTGATTACAAGTTGCGATGTTAACTGACAAATCAAGCGTAATAGCTACTTACTGACAATTCTTCTATATCACTTAGCCCTCTGTCACGAGTGATTACAAAATATTCCCGAAGTTGTAACTCCAATAAAAAATTGTAATCGATTATTATCACCTTTGTAGCGTATGCATTTTAATTGTTGATTTAAAAAAAAAAACATGGAAAAGTTATTAATGTCGCTTACAATCACCAATAAAACAAAATTTTTGTAAAAAACATAAATACATAACAATTGCGTTTTCTCTATTATTGAACAAAAAGAACTCCATGCATGGTACCGTTTAGTATTACCTACAAATTAGCTGAATCGATTTGTAAAAAAACTGAAAAGAAGGAAATGACAATACCACAACTAAGAAATGGAAATATTTTTCGGTAAATACGTTACATGTTGTGAAAATAAAATAAATTAAAATTTAATTTTGCAGGACATCCTAAATTACTGGTTGCAAAGGAATAATTCAGCTTATTTATATAATCTACGTTTCTAGGTATATTACGAGATCCAACACAATTATTGCGAAATAACGAAGGTAACAAAATAAATCAAAAACTCCCACAATTCATAATTTGGTTTTAGCATTCTAACAAAGTTGCATGTATTAATCGGAATTCTGGATAAAACTCTTACAAATATCAAAAGGATAGGAACCGACGATTCGATAAACTGACGTAAGAATTTCATCTAGCAACGTTCGAATACAGGACTAAAATTACCAAAGTGGGACAATGTTTTCGAGGATTCTTTATTATGTGTGAGTAAAATTTGCTATTAATTTTGCTTAATGTTGTTGAACATACTTTGTACCCGCATTTTTTAAATACTAATAACAATAATGAGTCTATTTTTGTATCATTTCATTATATACACTTTTTCAGTGACAGACAAATTATCGGAAATTGACATTTCTCAGAGAGCTTCCATCTCAAAACAGTCATGTCATCATCCTTTGGGAAACCGCCCTGGGAATTTCTGTTCCTATAAAAATTCTAGCTTAAAGGGATTTTTTTTTGTTCTGAGTGTCATGCATGGAAAAGTATTCCAAAAATGTAATACGCCTTCTTGTATGTTCAACAAAATCGATGACACGATCTTACGAAGGTATTTTATTCTTGGGGTCTACAAATGAAATACTGAGTAACTGAGCAAATATTTTAGGAAACGTGGTCTCAACGGAGTTCAACAAATTATTTAAAAAAATGAAATTTCAGCAACAGCTACACAACGTAATATTTGGGGCTTAGTCTGGACAAATTTTCTGATGAAACGTTGGAAAGGAGCACCACAATAATACATGATTTTTCTACTGAAATTTAGAGATGGCTTCCCAACGTAATTGTCTTCGAAAAGCGTGAAAAATATTAGGGATTTTTGAAATTGGCAGAGATATATTTTTATGTTCAAATAAAAAGAATAACTATTTTACTCCTTATTACACAATTGTTATTTCTATTAATAATAGTTTGTAAAAAAATCAAAAATTTGTATGTATTATATAAATATTAAGCAAGAGGTGTATATTAAATGTATAAAAATTGGTATTTATTCACCGTAAATTACCGAAAGAAGGATTGTACTGAAGCATCCTGATTTAGAGTTACAATTTAAAATAATTTCGCCCGCTTGACGAATGGCTACTTTCATGTTTTTTCAACGTTTCATAACCCCTCGAGTATAAAAAAGCAATCTGTCATTTTCGTTCATCTTCTTGTCTGTCGCCTGTGTCGATTTTTAGACAGAAATTGTATGACAACATTTTATAGAAAAATATGAGTGTGACTGACAGGTGCTATGTGTTTTTTTTTTAAGACTAGAGGCATTTTTTTTAATCCCAGAGTTGTTTTTATTATAATTTCCATATATTTACTTTAAACATTTTCAGTCTGAAGGAGACGACATGCAGTTGATATTAAGAGAGTGAATCAAATTATCCACGATTTGATAACAAAAGTACACACGAAAATTATAACAAATCGAGTGACACTTCATCTTATCGAGCCCGAAGAATTCCTAGCTATTTCATCACTCACCACCATGTAGTGCTAACGATAAGGCTTGGTCTGTTATCGCAGCTAAATATCTTTAATTTTAGGGCCTCTAAAGATTAAGTTATCACTTTTCCCTTAATTTTATAATATGTTTGGTTGAAAATACAGAGAAACGTGGAAGGACATTCAAGGCTAACAATATTCTTACAGTAAGTACCCAGTAAATACTTAATGTTAGTACCTTCGATCAAGTACTCCTTCAAAATAAATTTTCTGCGGTAGGTTTTCACTCAAAAAGGCAGGTACTTTCCTGTCATTTCGTTTTGTTGATAAATTAACTTAAGAGGAATCGAAACGTTCCACTCGCAATAAGGTGATTTTCTCTGCTGTCAGGAAAACTTAAAACAACGTTATAACAACAGAAGAAAGCATAGTGTCCTTTGTGACACCGTAAAAGCAGGTATTTCATTAAAATCATCATAAATTCGTAACATGATTTCTTACTAGAGTTGACACAAATTACTCTGAGACAAACTACTTGTACGTACAGACTTCAAACGTAAAATACAAATTTTTGAGAACCACAAACTCAACAATAGCACAAGAATTATTAATTTTGGTCGTTAATTCAATTCCGACCAGCATATACAAATAATGGCGTTTATTTAAGATCGTGAACATGTCTATTTACAAATAATCCATCAATAGATTAAGATCGTAAACGTATTTCTTCAAAAATAATCGTATTTTATTAAATTGTTAACGTATCTCTTCAAATCCAACTAGATGCAACGTTATTTACGTATGTACGACTATGAACAACATATCGTTTACAAACGTACCTAACACTTGTGATCCTCTCAATTACGTAACGTTATTACTGAACATCTAGTAAAATAGAACTACTCAAACTGTAAACAATTAAACGTACTTACGTTTTAGCGTAATACTTACATCCATTACGTGGAAAACTATTATCATAAGAAGACTTACAAAGGTTTGTTGCAATAATTACAAATACTTATGAATTGTCACCAGTCAAGCATCCGTTTACTCGTAGTCAGCTGATGAGAAATCAACCTCCCAATAAATTGTAAGCAAGGCATCTTCTCGCGCCCCTGATGAGATTGCTTATATGACCACATTCTAGGAGTTTCGTTAACTAGTTGTTCGTTTTTCATATTAAATTCGACAATAACGTAAAACTGAACATTGTCGATACCATCGTCTTCAGATTTTCCTACAGTTTGACTGAGCTTCGTCACAAGGGTGTTCACATTGCCGTAGTTTTTGTGTGACATTGGATGGCCGTAATTTTCACATAATAACAACACAACAACACATTTAAACGTCGTAGAAATGCGCACGTCGGATTTTGTTATCCCACTTCTGATTGTAAAAAGAATAAAACCTTCTTTTCAATATTTTATTTAAATAAAGGGTGACTGCGTTACAAGTACGACGTAGGTACGTCAAGAACTCTACATAAGTGCCCTGTATCGTGCGTCATCATCTTCCGTCATGCGCGTCTCTGCGCCCTCTGCGTACTCTCGACCCTTATCGAGATGCCAAGGTTAAGTGGTATCAGAATTATTCTTACATATACCCATGGTAGAAGGAGACATGGTATAGGCATACGCATCGGGTGTGACGTCAAGTGGGGTGAAATTAGCGCGAAATTTAAAATACAAACTTTCGTTATCCGACAACTAATTGACGTATTGGACAGAGCAATGACAACTCAAGCTGAAATTCCCTAGACTTCCCTAGCGAAGCTCACAAGAGTCACAAGGTCGCTGATGCCACCTAACGTCACAAATGGATGCGCAGACCATTTTTAAATTGGTACATCGGATGCCTATACCATATCTCCTTCTACCATGCATATACCTATATGTAAAATCAATTAAAAATTAAAAATAAAAAACCTTACCTTTCATAAACGAGACCATAAGCTGATCGTACAATCTTCGTTCATCATGCGAAAGTACAACACTACCGTTAACAATTTTTTCGGTGATGTGGTTTTTAACCACTCTCAAAATATTTATATTGGGAAATAACCCTTGAGAATACATTCCCAGGATTTGCGTGACCGAAAGATTATTTAGAAATACAGAAAATTCCATTTTATTTCAACGGACTTTAACAACGGACAATGTCGACACAGCAATGCTCAAGACTGTGAACTCTTCAAGGGTCGGTGTGGTAATGGTTATTTTGTTTCATTTGCCAAACAAACGGATGAGTGTTTTAAATCCCCATTTACAGGAAATTTTGTACCTGCTTTACGTAACGACATTATAGTATGTATAATGGAGCTGTGATAACAACCGGGTGCATTTAAGAAAACACAAACCAATATCCCGTGATAAGGGAGCTGATAGAGTGGTGATAACAGACCGCTGCACTTTCGCGACGTTATAGTTGTAATGTACTCGTAATTTGTCATATTTTTCCATTAAACACTATTGCCTTTCTCTTCTTATAGGTGTTGGGTATTTTCCTTGTATTCATTAAAATATCGTCAAATGTGTTAGTTTTAGGCGTCTTGTTCCCTTCACCTCATTAACTAAGTATTATAAAAACTTGAAAAACCAAATGTAAACCAGAGCCGTTAAGAACGTCGCGCGAATGATATTCAGTCGCTGTATTTGTGGAAAACTATAAAATAAAGAAAAACCATCAGTAGTGCAAAGTGTAGATTAATTGTCCCTAGCCAACCCATTACATAGTATTGTGCCAAAATGACCCTTCTGCAATATTTTGTTAAGAAACTATGTGCCTAATCATAAAGACCTAAAGAATGCAAAATGGAAAATTCACGTACCGCATAAATGACGAATGTCATCTTCAAAACATTTCTGATGGATCGGTAGTAACAACCGGATGCACTTAAGAAAACACAAACCAATATCCATGATAAGGGAGCTGCTAGAGTTGTGATAGCAGACCGCTGCACTTTTGGACCCTCTGCACTTTCGGCAAAAAAAAAGCACCAAACCCACGCCATTAAAATGCCATCAAATTAATTTAATTACGTTCGCTATTAAAAATTAAATAAATGTATTTGATGGCCATCTTAGAGCGCTGGAAATTATACTAAAATATGTAAGAGGAAAAAAGACAGCGTTACTTTCATAAATTATAAGTAAGGAGATATATATTTCAATAATTTTATTTAATTCATTAATACATCTAAATTAATTTTATAATTACATTCGCGATTAAAAATTTAATTATGAGTAAACAAAATCCATTAAGAGAATTATCTTGATGTCGCATGTCAAAAATCCATTAAGAGCAGTATCTTATCACACATGTCAAAAATCCATTATCATTGATAACGTAATTGACATCTGTCATGTTTATCACACCTGATGAGTAACTAATTGATGACTAATACCCAAACTGCCATCACTTCTACTCGAAAGTGTTAAGTGGGACATGGTATTGTTACGAAATACACCCTTACGCCGCCCCAGTACAACGCCTATGGCCGTCGAGAGCTTTCTGGACGTACGCACGGCGCTGATGGGTGAATCATCACTGCTGACGGTGTCGACGGCCCAGCGGCGGGCGCATAAAGACAGGTCAGAACCCGTCTCGAAGCGGCGTCCAGGGGAGTCTCGAAGCGGAGTCGCGATGGATGTTCGTGAAAGATCTCGATCAGAGAATATGGGTTTAAATAGAGGCGACCCTAGGTAATGGATTATTCAGCCAGTGAAGACAGTCAAGAGCGCCGGAATAATTTCTGTACATATTCGCTGCAATAGATAGTGTTGTAATTCGAGCCCAAGAAATAAATCTTTGAGTTTTACCAACGCCCGATTTATTATTCGCCCGTCAAACGTAACAGTATATATTAATGACATGGTAAGCTATGTTGATTCTATTTGTTATATATATGCAGATGATCTAAAACTGGTGAAAATTGCGAAATCTTATTGAGATTGTTTAGAGTTGCAGTCTAGCATTGATAAAATAATTACATGGTGTAGTAATAATGAATTAGGGATTAATATTGATAAATGTAAGGTAAAATGTCATTTACACGAAAAGTTAATAACATAGACTTTTATTATAATATAACAGGCATATAACAACTACTAGAACGATGTAATCAAATCAAAGGTCTTGGAGTATTATTTTATACCAACTTTGTCTTTGAGTTCACATATTGGAGAAATTGTAAATAGTGCATCACTCCATAACACTTTGGAGTCAACAGATTGATTCTTCTAAATCAGCCAAATATTTTTTATAAGCAGTATTAATAAATACTTTAGAGTTGAAACGAAAGGTTTGTGAAGAACAATCTTCGCTTTCGGGCTGTAAATAGAGTCAGTGTCGGTGTTTGCACTCGTGATATTTTCCTAGGCAACATGTTCTCAGGTAACCTCTTAATTTAATCGCATAAATGAATAGTTCTTATGGTATTTTATATGAATGTTTTTAACGTGCAATTTTTTGAAAAACTTTAAAATTGTAGAGTTTTATATTAAGAGGATGTCGTACAGAATTTGAGTCCTTGAGGAAGCTCCAGAACGACAAATTCAGAACGGAATTTCCAATTCGTAGTGATAATATTTATTTAATACTTCAGTTTCAGATAAGTAATATAAAATATGTCACGTGATTTTAAAAATTTGTTTATCTTATCAAAAACAAATAACGAATTTATTACCGCCCATATATAAAAGGATGGTTTTCTCTTACTTGTGTAAAAACAACTGTGTAGTTAAGAATCTGCCGTCTGTTAGTGACTTAAATTTGAAGAATGGAGAAAATTGAGGTGAGTGTTTTTATTTATTCATACATAGAGGTATACAGAAACCCAAAAACTTGGTTGCTAAGAGTGCAATAATCTATTTCTATTCAAGTGTATTATTAAAATTCTAAATCAACGTGTGTAATGTGTAATGTTTTTTTCTGGTTTCACTTTACTTATTTTAAGCCAAGTTATTCACAGTTGTCCTCGGTCTGTTGTACAGAGTGAGAAGAATAATCAAGTTTTATAAAGTCGATGATTGTTTTTGTTAATATTTTAATATTTGCCTTGTTGTCTTCTTTAAACTTAAATATTATATTTCGAGATTCCATTAATTTGACGCAAGATAAAGTCTCGAATCGTAGTCTAGTTTTTCTCGTTTTAATTTTATTGCTTAAGACATCATGATATTTAAGTTTGAAGGAGAATCCCAGCCGGTAGCCGAAACGTAACAAGGTAAGAATGTTTTAGTTTTTTTCATTGACCTCAAAAAAAACCACACAAGATTTAATTTCGTTTTGATCAAGTTGGTTTATTTAAATTAATTTAAACATGTATTTCAAATATTTATAAAATGATAAATATATTTTTTAAAGTGATATACTTAAATAACTTAAGTAAAACCTTTCAAATAAAAAAAAACAAAAATTATTATAAATCGAATAATAGCAGAGATATTGTTAAGTATACATTAAAATAAATACACTGCATAATTTTTTTTGGTCATGCAAACACAGTAATTACGGAATAATTCCTTTTCAAAGCAGTTGTTCGTCTATTCCTTTCCAGACTTTTAAAAAACGGGCCGGTACAACTGACAAAGGCAGAGATTATGAAGATGTGGTTCTCGCCAATGTCGTACTAAGACTATTAAACGACCCCAGAGTAAAAACGTTCCAGATCTCATCAAACGATGATGATTTTGGAGCGTTTGATGATCTGGTCATTAAGCTTGCATCGGATAAGGAAAACGACATTCAAGTTAAAGCGGTGCAGTTAAAACACACCGAGAGGAAAGTACTCTGTCTAGAAAATTTGCGAACCGTAAAAGGAGACTTCAGTATTAAAAAATACTACAAAAGTTACACAGAAATTGAGAAACAAATAGATGAACTGATTTTGTTCACAAATAGGCCGTTTAATCCTCCCGACAACGCAACCTTCCAACTTGAGGGCGAAGGATTTTACGTCAAGCTTATTAAAAGAGAAGTTAGCTCAGACATTTCAGAAAGTATTAGTCGCGTTTATCAGTTTGAAATAGTAGATGATCAATCGACAGTGGAGAACTTTCAAGGATATCAGGAATTTTTTCGCAAGTTTTTTCTCTATACCGACCAAGAAAATTGTGATACTCTAAAAAAAATAACTGCTAACAAATTCAAGACAACATATTGTTCAGATGACGAAACATTCGGTAAATTTCTAAAAACAGTTTCTGAATGGAATGTCCAAGATGGGAAGAAAGAAAAGATTGATAAAAAGTGGACACAGCTTGTACTTGCACTACACCTTCTGTCCTCTCATACTGAGTTTCTATCTTTCGGTCCAGTTAATGACAAAATGAAAATTTTTCGGGAAGCGATTTCCTTCTTTGATGTCACAATGATCGAAGACAAATCGGTCGAAACGGTTAAGCAACTGTGGGGTGATGTTGGAAAGGAAAAACCCATTGATTTTAAGGAATTAAATAAAGTTAGAAGGAGATATCTACCTACTCTCGCACATATTAAAGCCAACGACATCGGCACCATAGATCCCAAAGAGTTCACTCAACTGTTGTGGGTAATGGACGAATGTCCATTAATTTTACGTGAATGGGAAAGGATGAAAAATATAATACAGCTGTGTCCCCACAAAAAATTCGTTTTGGTTGGCGGAACTAGAGATGAGGAATGGCTGGAAAACTATTCCGTGTTCCAAAATCTGTCAGACTTGAGTCTGAAGCCCGAAATTCGTAAAAATATAATGCAAAATTTTACCATTTCGATTCAGGGAAAGGGCGAACTTGATCTTGTGACATCTTTTGGTTGGAATGAAGATTTTTTCAAAAATGTTAGAACTGATCACCTCGTGGAAATGCTGGATGGTACATGTTGCATAGGAGGAACAAAGGAAACACTACCCGAACCTTATATAGAACGCTATATTTCGCGAAATGTCGTTGATAACACATATTTAGAAAAAGTTCACGAAAACACAATTATTATTTTAAATTCTGACAATAACTTAGACAAAGTTAAAAGCAAACTCGACAAATGTGAATTGATTGAGATTAATAATTTCTTACTCAAAAAAAATCAGAATGGCGAAATTCTAACAAATAATGACTTTAACGTTAATGAATCTAACTTTAATAACAGAAATTACGTAGGTAACAGAAAAAAAAATGAGTTAAATTCTAATCTAAACGACAACAAATATAATTCTCGTTTTGATAAGTCAAGTTTTGCCAACACAGTTTACGTTGGTTCTAGGTATTATAATAATTCTGAACTTCAACAAATTTATAACGAGCACAAAAAACAAAACAATTTCATTATTTTAAAATTTTGAATGATGGAAATTTAGAATGGCTATGTAGCAGAGGTGATGTTAGTGATGTAGAGCCTTATAAATTGCCTGACGCATATCCTACCGAAGAAAATGACTTGTGGTCTTCTCGGTTAGATTATAACATCAATCTTATAATTGGAGATCCGGGAATGGGTAAAAGTGAGCTAGTAAAAAGCTTAAAAAATAAATGTTCTCCCGAATATTGGACAGTTTTAATTAGTCCCAAGGATGTTAATTTATTTTTTCGCAATCTCGACTTCTCTAAAACGGAAAATTGTTCAGACTTATTCGTAAAATTCATCACAAATAAAAAATATGTGTCGCTCAAAAAACTAGATCTAATGTTATTCAAAATGTGCATAAAGAAAAACAACGTAGTTTATGTGTGGGACGCAGTCGATGAAATCTTAAATGATAAATTAGATGCCGCTTTAAATATAATTCTCCATCTTTCAACGAAAGGGTTTCGTCAGTGGGTTACAAGCAGACGCATTTAAAATCAACTCTAGAAAAAAAGTTCAGTTTGTTGTCACTTAGTATAAATCAATTTAACGAACAAGAACAAGAAAAATATATCAGAAAACGTTTAAAATCTTTTAATTCTAAGTATAACATTGACGTCACGGTCGAAAAAATCAAATCGTCTTTTGCGATTGTGGAACACGTAGACATACTAGGTATCCCTTTGCAAATATTCATGCTTACCGAACTGTTCCGTGAAAATGGCGAAAAATATTTGGAACTAATGGACAACACATTTCTCTTGACTGACTTGTACGACTATTTCATTGACGAAAAATTTAATAATTATTACAAACACAAAATTGGGTACGATTTAGGAAATCTCCAAATAGAAATTATAGTCCGTGAAAAAAAACGAAAAGCTTCAGAGTATTACGAAGGTGTGTCCTTTAGAGTAATATTTGACGAAGAAATTATGCAGCGACTGAATATTGATTACGAAAAATGCGTACGGAAACTTTTACGAAGTTATGCTTCTCTCGGTCTTGTAAATGAATTTCAAGATGATGTTCCACGTTTCGTGCATAGTTCCTTCGCTGAATATCTAGTTGCTAGGTACTTTTCAGAAAATATTAATAATTTTAAAGACACAATTGCGGACTTGTTGTTTGACGCAAGGTATAATAACGTTCGATTCTTTTTTGACATGTTGTTGGCTAAAAACTCAAAAGCTCACATTGCTGTATTGTATAAACGTTACGAATTACTTAAAACGTATGACGACGAAATTTTAAAAAGCCAAGATAAAGGGGGAAGAAGTGTTTTACATTTGATTTCGTCATGGGGGCAAAGACATCCGCGTGTAAAATTATTGCATCTACAGAACGAGTGTTTAGTGATCGATTGGAATCTCAATAATAATAGCAATTTTGATAAAAAAACGGAAACCAAAGTATACTTTGAAACGATGACGTATTTGCAACGAAAAAACGGTGCTGGCCAACGTGATATTTTGTTAGATGCGACTCCGTTGTCTTATGCCCGAAGAAGTGAGAGCCTAGGAGCACAAATACAATTACTACAAACAAAAAAGGATGAGCTGAGACAATCTCGCGATGACATAATTAATTTTATATATTATTCTGCTTTACTGGGTTACGACGACTTGTGCAAACACTTCACAGTGGAAGAGTTGAATAATTTTTGGCGCGATGTGGAAATTGTTACTGTAGAAAATGCTGAAACACCTCTGTGGCTCGCCTCTGAAAATGGTAATTTAAAAATCGTTGAGTATTTTGTAAGATCTGGTGTCGACATCAACTGTGTTAATATATTCGGTGCGACACCACTTTACGTAGCTTCACGAAACGGTCACGAAAAAGTTGTCGAATACTTGGCGACAGTCGGCGCCGAAATCAATCGCGCTCAGAATGACGGTGCGACACCACTTTACGTAGCTTCACAAAACGGTCACGAAAAAGTTGTCGAATACTTGACGACAGTCGGCGCCGAAATTGATCGTGCTACTAATGATGGTCGAACACCGCTTTATATAGCTGCTTTCAATGGTCACGAAAAAGTTGTCGAATACTTGGCGACAGTCGGCGCCGAAATCAATCGCGCTGATAATCAGGGTTGGACGTCACTTCACATAGTTTCACAAGAAGGTCACGAAAAAGTTGTCGAATACTTGACGACAGTCGGCACCGAAATCAATCGCGCTACTAATGATGGTCGAACACCGCTTTACATAGCTTCACAAAACGGTCACGAAAAAGTTGTCGAATACTTGGCGACAGTCGGTGCCGAAATCAATCCCGCCACTAATGATGGTCGAACACCGCTTTACATAGCTTCTTTCAATGGTCACGAAAAAGTTGCCGAATACTTGGCGACAGTCGGCGCCGAAATCAATCGTGCTAACAACGCGGGTTTTACACCACTTTACGCTGCTTCACAAAACGGTCACAAAAAAGTTGTCGAATACTTGGCGACAGTCGGCGCCGAAATCAATCGTGCTAATAAAAACAATGCGACACCACTTTTCATAGCTTCACAAAACGGTCACGAAAAAGTTGTCGAATACTTGGCGATAGTCGGCGCCGAAATCAATTGCGCTACTAATGAGGGTTTTACACCACTTTACGTAGCTTCACAAAACGGTCACGAAAAAGTTGTCGAATACTTGGCGACAGTTGGCGCTGAAATCAATCGCGCTACTCATGACGGTTGGACACCACTTCTTGCAGCTTCCTTGAACGGCTACGAAAAGGTTGTCGAATACTTGGTGACAGTCGGTGCCGAAATCAATTACGCTCTTGACGGCCGTTGGACATCACTTTTCTCAGCTGCTCAGAATGGCCACAAAAAAATTGTCGAATTTTTGTCAACAGTCGGTGCTGACATTAATCGCGGGGATATCGACGGTTGGACACCACTTTACGTAGCCTCTTTCAACGGCCACGAAAAAGTTGTCGAATACTTGACATCAGTCGGTGCTGAAATCAATCGCGCTGCTGATGACGGAAAAACACCACTTGACGTAGCTTCCGAAAAGGGTCACCAAAAAATTGTAGAATGCTTAATAAGAGCCGGCGCTCAAACCGAGGATCATTCCTTTACAAGGGGAAGTAAGAAAAAAAATTCCCTAAACCGTCCAGATGCACCGTAATGTAGTAAGAAGAATGTTCTTGCTTGAAGATCGTATCTCATTAAATTGAACTAGGCATGAAGAATAATATCCAAAATACCAACCTAGTTTTATCCTACCTAATGATTTCCAAGAAAAATGGAAGTTTATCCTGAGGTTTTTAATTAATTTAAATAATAATTTAAAGTCTGGTTAAGTAATGGGTATATGTTTTATTTTGAAAACAGATATTAATGTCTTGAAAATTTTGACATCGGCAATTTGCAGCGAATATTTTGTCCGTCCTTAACACATAACACGCCGATAAGCTAAATTTGAAAATTACCAAACACTTTAGTTGTAAAAGTAGTATATACAGAGTCGAATTGCACACAAAATATTAATTAATCAACAGAATTCCATTCACAGATAACTGGTAATATTAATTTCTGGTGGAAAATATTTTAATACGTTTGGGTAGAATTTGAACATGGTCTGAGACAGCTCGCCATATCTTAGTATGCTTAATTTTCCATAAAGTATAACCAACATTGTAGTTAAAATGAGAAAACTATTGAGCATAGCACTAATTTAAATATTTGCGATATATCAAACGTATCTTCTACCCGGACAATTGTATTCACTCATTCCAGTATCCTTGATTATAAGTTGCTACATTAACTGACAAATAAAACGTTATACCTATTTACTTCTTCTACATCACTTCATCACGTTTGCTTAGTCCTCTGATCACGATTCATTACAAAAAATATCGGAAGTTGTAACCCCAATAAAAAATTGTAATCGATTAAGTATAACCTTTTTAGCGTAAGCATTTTAATTTTTGAGTTTAAACAAAAACATGGAAATAGCTATTTATCCAACACCTCTTGATTATAAGGTCATAAAATTGCCAATTTTGGACACATTAGAAGGCCCATAAGTCAATTTATTTAACACAAAGAAGTTCAACACATAAAATTAGAATTATATGAATCATTTGTCCAGTTTCAGATTAATATTTATATTGAAAGATAAAACATTATTTGCTTCTTGGTTTGTTACTTCAATGTTGTTCCCACGTTCATTTAGTCTTGTCTTCTCAATCTCAACAGTGACTGTCTTCTCAGTCTCAACACTGCTTTCCGCTCACGAATTTTCACCCAGGATCTTTTTAGCAATAATCGTTTTGGTGGAAATTGACTCTTCAACGTAGCCTTGTGCCACGCTTGTTGATTTCCATCGGCCATGATGTTGGAGCCTACCAAGATCAGCTCCAGCATTAGTAAAATTGCTGATGTGCGTCTCATACTGTGTCCTGTGTACAACTCTGCTTCTGGTGATTTCAAAAAATCTGCTACTATTGATGGTACTTTCGATAAACTATTTATTCCGATTGGCTGTACTGTGCATTTCTCACTTCTGTAGCACAAAAACAACTTGTCGTGAGAAACATTTTCAGTTCGCAGATACATATATTTTCTACAAATATTCAGCACATTAACGGAAAATCCTTCTTTCTTGATGGTAAAGCTGCGTGAAACATTTCTTTTTGTATCTGGTACAGATACCAACATATAGGATCCACTATCTTTTACGTTATCGATTGACATTGTCACTAATTCATTACATCGACAGCCACCTGATACACAAAAAATTAGTGCCACCTGTAATGTAAAAAATTAAATTACATTCTCAAATAACAAAATCGACTTACCTTCATCATCAAAAGCTTTGTGTTAGATTCCTCTACTAGAGACTGTTGAATATCCTCTCTTTCGAGAACTTTTGCTTTCTTTGGCTTGTGACTTTTAGATTCGTTCATATTGCGAAATATCTGCATTTTCGTGAAGCTTTAATGTCGCTCTTAACATGGAATATTTTGTCCACATTGAAGAGGCCGTAACTCTCTTGCTGACGTTAAAGAAGTAACCCAAGAGCACGTCTTCCCTTACACCAGAAACATTATTTTCTTGCTTCCAGTTATTGAAGTAATTTAATTACTTGTAATAAGCGTCCCTGGATTTCTTCGGTAACAAACTCGATGTAGCTTCTTTAACATCTTTCGCAAAACTTTCCTCTTTTTCAAAAATTTTCTCGATTTGACGTGAACAAACAATTTGTCGTGACAACCACACGGGAACCAATTCATAGGCTACCAGCTGTTAACGATATTGAATTTTTGAGATTTTCATAATGCTTTAAGTACTGTTACTGAAGGAGGTGTTGGATAAAACTATGTATTACAGTCGTGTCTTAACAGCAAATAAGTCGCTTAAGAAAAATTAGGCCACTCGAGCAAGCTCTCGTGCCTAAACATTTCTTTCGCGACTTATCTGCCTTATAAGACACTTGTATAATAAAGTTATTAATGTCGCTTACAATCACCAATGAAACAAAATTTTTGTAAAAAACATACATAACAATTGTGTTTTCTCTATTATTGAACAAAAAGAATTCCATGCATGGTACCGTTTAGTATTATTTACAAATTTGCTGAATCGATTTGTAAGAAGAATACGACAACTAAGAAATGGAAATATTTTTGGGTAAATACGTTATATGTTATGAAAAAAAAAATTATTAAAATTTAATTTTTCAGGACCCTTTCTTCCAGGGCATCCTAAATTATTGGTTGCAAAGGAATAATACAATTTAGTTATATAATCTATGTTTCCAGGTACTTAGGCCCCATTACGAAATCCAACACAATGATGCGAAATAACGAAGGTAACAAAATAAATCAAAAACTTCCACTATTCATAATTTGGTTTTAGCATTCTAACAAACTTAGATGTATTAATCTGAATTCTCGATAAACCTCTACAAATACCAAAAGAATAAGAATTGATAATTCGTTAAACTGACGTAAGAATTGTGATTCCATGAAGCAACGTTCGAATACAAAACTAAAATTACCAAAATGAGAAAATATTTTCGAAGATTCTTTATTATGTGTGAGTAAAATCTGCCATTATTTTTGCTTAATGTTGTGGACGTACTTTGTGCTGTTAAATACTAAATAATAATAATAGTGGGTTTATGTTTGTATATACACTTTTTCAGTGACAGACAAATTATCGGAAATTGACGTTTCTCAAAGAGCCTCCAGCTTAAAACAATCATGACATCATCCTTTGGCAGACCGCTTTGCGAATTTCTGTTACTATAAAAAATTCTGGCTTAAGAGGATTTTTTTTGGTCTAAATGTCATGCATGGAAAAGTATTCCAAAAATGTGATACGCCTTCTTTTATCTTATACAAAATGGATGACACGATCTTACGAAGGTATTTTAATCTCAGAGTCAACAAATGAAATACTCAGAGTAACTGTTGAAATATTTTAGGAAACATGGACTCAACCGAGTTCAACACTTTATTTAAAAAAAAAATGAAATTTCAGCAACAGCTACAAACGTTTTTTGATGTATTTTTGGATGAAGACAAGATTTTTGTACTGAAACTTAACGATGGCTTCCCAGCGTAATCGTCTTCGAAAAGCATGAAAAATAATAAAGATTTTTGGAAACTGGCAGAGGTATATTTTTTATGTTCAAATAAAAAATAACTATTTTACTGTTTATTACACAACTGTTATTTCTATTAATAATAGTTTGTAAAAACTTAAGTCTATTAATAATACATATATCTTTACAGGAATCGAAGGAAAACCTATAGTCAAAACGCCCCATCATTCTAATCCAGAAGAAAGTCAAATATGTAAACAAAAGTGTGCTACGTACGAGTATATGTAAAAAATCTATATCTGAACTTAGTGGTATACTTATGTTAAAAAGCATCTTCGAAAAATATATGTTTTTAATCTAGTTACATATGTGCAATTTTTCTAATTTTAGTAACAACTGTACTGCCATCTTTATTAAATTAGTTATAATCACACTCTCGTTTTATCTTACTCGACAATTAATGAATTATTGCAGATTAATTTACAAAACGGACCAAGTTTCGTTCTTAACAATAAAAATGATGAATTGAGTACCTACGAGACCATTTATCGTTGTTAAGTGACGGACGATTCAGTTTATACAAATAAGTTTTGATACGAGTAATGCACCGCATAATTCTAATCTCGGCAAGGTTACTGTTTTTAGAAGTGCGACGCGTGATTTTGTACCAAGTAGACGCACCGAATAATTGCTGCATTTGTCATTCGTCTGTACATATATGACCGCTCCGTACCCCTTCATACTGGCGTGGCAAAAACCGTGCAATTCAAAACCATTTATGTCGTTGAGATCGGAAATTCTTCTAGGAATGTGTAATTCGCGAAGATACAACAATTCCTTAATAAATTCACTCCACACATAGTAGATATCTTGTGGCACAGATTCATCCCATTCGATCTTTAACGACCATAATTTCTGTAATATCAATTTCCCCTTTAACATGACCGCCCCGATCAGATCTAATGGGTCGAATATCTGTGCAATGGTCGATAAAATAATTCGTTTGGTCACCTTTGATTTGACGTTGATCGGTTTTACGTCGTACCTAAGAACATCGGTTTTGGGGTCCCAAAGTAAACCCAAGGTTTTTGTCAATTCGCCATCGTCCAATTTTACTAAAGAGCCATGACTATTATCGGCGGTCGGAAGCACGGCTGGTACGTTTGAAGCCCATTTGCGTAATTCGAAACCTCCCTGTTTTAAGATCGCGGACATTTCCTCGCGAAGGGTAATTAATTCCGAAACCGTTTGGGCACCCGTTAACAAGTCGCCCATGTAAAAATCCCATTTGATTATCGTACTCGCTGTGGAGTACAGATCTTGATTTCGCGTGGCTAACTCGGACAAACAACGGGTCGCGATGAAGCTGGCCGGTTTCGTACCGTATGTCAAAGTGGTCAATCTGTACGTTAGTAATTTTTCGTCGGGTTCCTTACGCCATAGTATTCGCTGATAATCCGTGTCGCGCGGGTCGATTCGGATCTGCCTGTACATTTTCGCGATATCGGCCGTCACACAAACGGATGAATTCGAAACCTCTTCAAGATCTTCTTGAATTACCGGTCCGATCATTAAATTATCATTGAGACTTTTACCGGTCGTAGTTTTAAAGGAGGCGTCAAAAACCGTCCGCAAATTGGTTGTCGTACTAGATAATTTAAACACGGCGTGGTGCGGCAGGTAGTACGAGTTTTCTAAATTTATATTCGGATCCGGTATTAGTTCCATGTGGTTCATTTCCAGGTACTCCGCCATAAATTTCGAGTCCAGCTCCTTTAAATCCGATTGTCGCTGCATTTTATTTTCTAAAGATCGAAACCGATTGGGGGCACCTTGTTGGAATTTCCCAAGTCAGGCGGGGTGCACTTGAAAGGTAGGCGCGCCACGAACCGCCCGTGTACATCCCGCCATTGATTAAATACATATAGACAGACCCATGCTATTGTTTGGAGCGAACAAGCCAAAAGCCGGCGAACAAGAGATGGCGCACCGACATTCGGCCGTCAAACGCCGGCGAAAAGCTTGGACACCAATCACGCGCATAGGCAACCCAAATCACAGCAACAATACATTTAACAAATCTACCACTCGATAGAGGGCGACGAAAAAAATGTGTAAAAATCTCGTAGTAAGCATTGAAAAAATCGGTAATAAATTCAGTGAAGCATCTTTGTGCCTTAATTCTTATTGGTAAATTGGGATTTTGAATAGAGGTCGCAGGAAAATTTTGAATGGTTTTATGATTTATTTACATAATTTTCATATTTACAATGAATGTTTTTAATATATAATACAAGTTCTTGATATTATTTATTTTAATTACATTTAATAACCCATAAAACCACAAAAATCTTTTTTTAACACAAATTATATATCAATAAATTTTCAGTAGCGAGTTATCGATATACTTAATTGTATTTACATCATAAAATGTGAAAGAAAATGTCTGATTTTTGACTTTATGCGGCATATGTTACCCGTTTTTAAGATATATATGAATGCATATGTTTTGTCTTTAGTATATATCTGCCCGTCTCTAGTCTAATAAATTTTCTAAAAAAATATAGTAAGTTTTGAGAAAACGCATTTAAAAGCATTTTCCATTGTATTATTAGTAACAAAAGCGAGCACACGAAAGCATAGAAAAAAATTCCAATGTGTTATTTACATTTATTTTACTTCATACTGTGTCAAATTTGGCGTTTTACTGGATTTGAAGGAGTCCGGTAAAATAAAAAAAAACGGTTGTTGTGAAGGGGTTGTGACTTAGACACATTTATTTAGATTTCCCGTTTATTTCACTGCCCACATAACAAAACTTACATGACAACTTTATACATGGCCATGATCACATGGCAACTTCTTCTCTACCTTACACACATTCTCCCTTGTCTCTTCGTTGACTCCTCTATTTATCACTGGCAACTGACCATATTCTTACAAAATACAGAGGAGTCAGCGATTACAAAACATTTGGACAAGCAACCTAATTTAATATAGCTGACAAAACTATGGCGAAATGAAATTATAATGCAACAATAATGCAACAATAACCTACTTTACTTTACAACAACAAGTCCTATAAAGTGTTACTATGTGTTTAAACATTTTTGATGCCGATTTGCACGAATAAACAAATTAAAACATTTGCCAAACAGGGGTTGCTAACGATGTCAGAAAAAGTGACTCGATTTGAACTTTTTCTCAAAATAGTAATTATTTTATCGAATAAAAAAATATGTTGACAGTATGAAATAAAATCCATAACGACAAACGTCCGGTAACTCTTTTCGCAGTACTCGTTTCGAAATTAAAGACTCGGCTCCCTACGGTCGCCTCGTCCTGAAACATCTCACTCGTGCTGTAAAATTTGAGTTACCGGACCGTATTTATAATAATGTTAGCACTAACAAATATTTAAAATAACAAGTAATAATTTGTTTGTATTATTTATTTTTATTCATTATAATAATCCCATTTATTTATCAGAATCTTTTAAACGAAATAAAATCTAATCGACTAGAAATAACGGCAAAGTTGTGTTAGGCTCATCTGGCAACGTTGTCAATTATCTAAATGCTTACTATGAGATTTTTACACATTTTTTTCGTCGCCCTCTGTCGAGTGGTAGATTTATTAAATGTATTGTTGCTGTGATTTGGGTTATTTAATCAATGCCTTGTGTGACCACCACATCTTCAACTTTGTTATAAGCATTTCATCTGTATATGTCTATTTCACTTTCATCCTGGTACCGCACCAGCGCAACAAATCGCTTTTGACAGATGTTTCTTTTAACCTCTCTTTCGAGTTCTTGTACGAAAAACAATTTTAAAATTTAGAACAAAGATTCTATTTTAAGTGATGTAACCATAAAGGATCACAATTGCTGTCCAATAATTTACTATTCCTTTCGTTATCTACTGTGAATTATTTATAAAATCAAGCTGTCAACATCTTTCGTACGAAGTTAGTTCAGACATACTTCCTAAAATTTAGGCGCGCAAAATTCAAATAGTGATCAGGCAAGGATAGCTTGATTGTAATCTCTCTATGCAGAAAAGAGATGTGTGACAGGAGGATGTCGTCACAGGCTCTGCCAGGGAAAGAACACGGCGTGGTGGTATCTATTTATTATATGATCTAAGCATGTAACATGATATATAGGTTATAAGAACAGACATGACGTTTGTGTGAAATGATATTCCAACGCCTACTCTGAGTGATTTTTTAATTGAACACTCGTTACATAAAAAATGATCTCTTTTTATACACACAATATATATTTTTATTAGTGACCGAGACAGCAATAAAAACACGATCAAAAACAACCATGAATTTGTGTGTGATTTTCTACTCAATCTTTCAGATTGACAAATCTTCAAAAATCCTGGCTGTCTGGCCAATGTAGACTCTAAACGTCCAGAAACGATTTCACTTAATCCAGATCTCTGATCTGATGTACATCCTAACCGGTTTCGACCATAATTTCTTGCTGATTTCTCGGTTTTCAATTTTTCTTCTCTTCAATTTTACGAATTTAAATAAGTATTTCGATTTTTCAATTTTTCAAATTTGATTTTTATAAACTCTCAATTTTTAGATTTCTCAGTTAATCGATGTTTTGATTTTCCCATTTCTTGACTTTCGAGTGTTTCGATTTTCCTGTTCTTCAATTCTTTATTTTTTTGGTTTTTCAGGTTTTTGATTTTTCAATTTTTCGATTTTTTAAGGTTTCTATTTTTCGACTTCACTTTTTTGATTTTTAGATTTTTCAGTTTTTCGATATTTCAGTTTTGGAATTTTTCCATATTTCCATTTTTCAATCTTTTGATCTTTTAATTTTTCAAGATTTGTTAATCTTTCGATTTTTCGGCTTCCCGGTTTTAGATTTTTCGTTTGCTCAAATTTTCGATTTGTTAATTTTTCATTATCGAGATTTAATTGTTCAGTTTTTCGATTTACCAGTTTTTCAATTTTTTATTTTGGCTATTTCGGTTTCGCTTTTCCAATTTTTCAACTTTTAACTTTTTGTTTTTTCGATTTCTCAATTTCTCGATTTTTCGACGTCATGACTTTTCGATTTCTCGTTCTTTTGATCTTTCAATTTCTCAATTTTCCAATTTTTAACTTTTCGATTTTTTGATTTCAGCCTATTTGGGTTTCTCAATTATTCGACTTTTCGACTCCACGATTTCTTGATCTTTTGATTTTTCGATTTCTCGATTTTTCGATGATTCGATTTTTCAGTTATCCGATTTTTCTATTTTTCGATTTTTTAAACTTGGGAGTAAAAATCCATTGAGTTATTAACGATTGCAATGGATACTCAACATAAATAGTATATTATTAGCCAAGGTTGCAAGGCCAAGCATTCTAGACCGAGCGCAAATTAGAACCCGAGACGCGCAGCGTCGAGGGCTCTGAAGCGCTAGGTCTAGAAGTGGCTTTGCAACCGTGGTTAATATACTATTTTTTTCACTAGTAGACACCATAAGACAATAAATTGAAAAAATAAACGTTCAATTTTTTTACGCAACATGATTTTGTTTTGATTTCTAATCAAACTTAATCTAAATCTTCAACACAAAGAAAACCGTTTATACTTGTCGCTGAGTTAATCATTTTATCTTCTACCGTCTACCAACTATCATGCGTATACTCAAGTAATGTTTGTAGCACACATTTGTTCATTTTTTAAGAAATAATCACATCAAACATTGCGTACATAACCTCAATTTTTCTTTTTGAACCCGTGGTAGCAAAAGTTGAATTTGCTACCACTTGTTACGATTTTTTTTTGGAGTCGAGGGTGAAAGGGGCTTAGACGAAGTCTCGCTCGATGGTTTTAATCGGTCGTAGCGAACGCCTGTCACCGATCTCGACCTCTTTTTTTATTGCGGATTGTCGCCGGCAGCTCCGCCAAATTTTGAGTTTTTTTTGCCTCTACGAAGTAGTACTGGCGGGGACGGAGACGGCCAAGCGAGAGGTGGGGGTGCAAAGTGAGAGAAGAGTGAGAGTTGGTGCCGAGAAGAGGTGATTTGAGTTTGGCGAGGTTTGACCTGATGGTTTCCTTTCTTTTTTGAGAGTACTCAGTTCCATAGATTGATAGTGAGGCGTATCCCTTGTATAAGGTAAATTTCGTGCCTTTTGCCGCATGTAGGCTTATTGCTCCACCTGTAGGGTCCACGCCAGGGGCGAAGTTTCGGAGCCGTACAGAGGCGACGTAGAGGGCAGCGAAACGAGGGAAATTTGCTGGGCGTAGCGCCAGCTAGGAGACCCGGAGTTTTTGGATGATCGCGACGTCGAAGACGCGGACCTGGTGAGTTGAACATCGGGGGATCCAGGCCGCGGCAGGACTTGGTCAGCGCGTCGCCGTCGTCCTGTGGGAAGACTCCTGTTTTTTTGAGCTACGAGTAAAAGAACACGCCTTATCGCGATCGGAAATTTTCTTATCGTTTGTCGCCAGACCCAACCGTTTTTTTTCTGCGTCTCTCTCTTTCACTCTTTACATGCTTTTCAACGTTTTTTCAAATTTTCACGTACCCGCATAAATTTGATGGCGCCCAATTTTTTTTATTTGTGAAATAGTCAGCATTTCCTGTAACTAGCTAGTAGACCGTTGTTGCGTAGTAGTTCGTCAGTTCATTTGTTATGGTAATTCGTTACTGACATTAGTTGTAGTTTTGTTACCTTTTACTAACCTAGATAATTTTTTTTTGTACTAAAAGCCCTAAATATTTTAATTATTATACAGCTCGCCAAAATAATTAGCCTTTCATTCTGAATCAAAATCTCGGATCCACCTACCGGCTCTCCCGGAAGTGAGCACGGGCAAGTGTATCTTCCCTCGCTTTTATAGCAGAGACGACGTTTTAAGGTAACACACTAAATGAGTCGACATTTGCATGCGCCCTGGCTGCTAGTGAAAAATAACTATTTTTTTAATTATCACGTAGGTTTGCTGAAATATTGGTTGCACACCTCCAATATATTGATGTGTTTTTTTTTTCGGACTGAACATAGGGACTTTATGGTGTATTTAAAGAGTAGAATAATTGAATTTCTTCATGATCCCAGGTAACACCCTGGGCAAAAAAAAGACAGGGTAAAAATAATACATTTGTAACGATTGATAATTTTGTTCATAAACCTAAAATGATATAATTTTTTAAATACAACTAAAAAAGAAACAATAAATTATGTCGCCATACAATATAAAAGTGAATTTACCATACAGACATAATAATATTCTATGCTGATGTTATATTTACATTTAAGTTGTCATAAAGAAAGAATTCAAAAAACTTAAGTATTTGTTTTAATTTCGACCTCAACAACTTTTCTTCTTTTTCGTCTTTGACAAATTTTGCACATTGGCGACAATCTAATCTAGAGCTTCCAGAATTTTCTTCCCGTTTATTTACTATATTTTTTTCGGGACTTGACTTTATTTTAACTCAGTTTTCGTTTACGCACCCTAGTAAAACATAAGACGGTTAATTTTTCAACCTCCGCTGTGCTACAGTAAAAAAACACTATCTTCTTTTGCTTCAAATTTAGCGACTTTAACACTGCGCTATTATCTATGCAATGCAAATTCTGTTTCTCACATTTGTGTGGAAAGAAAAGTAGTAAGTAGTACTAGAAAAGAAATGGCTATTTCCAAAAAATTTCTGAATATAAAATCGATAACACCTTATCGTACACCAAAGCTGGTTAAACTAAACCGAAAAGTATCAAGGTTTAACATCAATAAAGGAGTATTGCGCAGCTCTATTTTAGGCTCAACTTTATTTTTGATTTTTATCAATGATAGCCACTATTATAGTTTAACTACAGTGCTTTATGTAGATGTTATAGGTAAGGCTCGAGTCTGCTGTGTGAGACAAATATACATATATGAAATGGCTAAATATAGAGTTATTTTTGCTACAACGAAGAAAATACTATCTAAACGTTTTAGATAAATTTTTCAACGTAAAAATCATTATTAAGTCCTAAAACCAAGCTTATCGATTTTGTTTATCGTTTTCCACCAACCACCAAGCGTTATTTGAACAAGGCACTGTTGTGTTAGTACACCATTTTGTAAACGAACTTGTTCCAATTGTACTTTATTATCAGAATTATATCCGGATGACATGTATTATTTCATGAGTAATTTTTTGCGCCTTAAAAATTAAATTGCGTATCTATTTTAAGAAACACTTGGAACACAAGTACTTGTACCTTGAACTGAAAAAGCACATTTGGGAAAAAACACGCTCAAAAAATTATTTCCTAAACATTTCATAGAAAACGGCAAATAAACATGTATAAAATAATAATTTTTAAAAACCATTTCTTGATAAACGTAATAAATGGCGCCTGGGAGGTAGACAACCAGTGATTCAGATTTTAAGAGTAAACACTCATTGTTTTTTGAAGTGGTAAATTTTGATCACGACATTTTTAAATGACCTACTTGAACTATAGGTATACATTTATAGACACGCTGTACAAAATAATACTAATTCTCTATTTATTATGTCTTACGTAAATTAGAGCATTCTGTTGGGTCAAGTAGGTATTTGGGAGAAATATACATATATTCATATATATAGGGTGTTTTAGCATTTGCTACATTCAAATTCAGAACTAAGAAAAATTTTAATTTCTAATAATTGTATGATTAAGAACAATTGCAATACTTCAGTTTCAGTTAACTAGTTGAAAATATGTCACATGATTTTAAAAAATTTCTCTATTATCTTATCAAAAACAAATAAGCAATTGAGTGCTCGCTATATATACATCGATGATTTTTTAGATAGGTTATTGTCAAAGTCTTGCAGTTAATCGTTTGTCTTTTATTGGTGATTGCAACTACAAATGGAGGAAACTGAGGTGAGTTCTTTTACTATACATATATCAATACATCTACTAGACAAACCCAAAAATTTCGATAACTTAGACTGAGTAACGGCAAGTTGAGAGAGATGTTCATAACGGTTTTGGTATTAAATAATATTAAGTTTTCATTTGTAAGATATATAAGATTTCTATGGGTTAAATCCTTTCGAATACTAAACAACAAGTATTCCGTACTGATGAGATCTCAGGAGGTCGAAACTCTAATCTCGAAATTTTTATCAATTTTCCGAGCCTTTTGTCTTCAAAATTCTTTGGGAATATATATATATAGATATATATGTCTTTAATGTATAGTCGACTTTTGCGCAGTTTTACTTTACTATTTTAGAGTCAAGTTAAAATTTTTTATACATGGAAGTGATTTCTGTTTCAATTGTTTGATAAATGTTATCATCATAGAGTTACATTTCGACAACCCTTCTCTTACCTTCAGAACCAAATACATACTAAATGTAACTTCTTTGTTAAATAAAGTAAATTTTGTAAAAATATAAATACATACTTAGGAAGGTACGTTTTATGAAGTAACTGTAACTCTGTTTTATAGCTAAAATAAATATAGTGATGTCTGATGTATTTAAAATACATATATTAATTAAAATTTACAATCAGATCGGATTACATTGTATATATTTTATTTTTATTCCACAATTTCTTTTCAAAGCAGTTGTTCGTTTACACCTTTCCAGGTTTTTAATAAAAGGGCCGGAACTACGGATGAGGGTAAAGAATACGAGGACGTGGTCCTCGCTAGTGTTCTACTAGATTTAGTAAATGACCCTTCCGTAAAGTACTTTAATATTTCATCCAACGACGGAGACTACGGTGCATTTGACGATTTGATTATTAAACTTGAATCGGATAAGATGAGCGATGAAGTACGAGTAAAAGCAATACAACTGAAGCATACCCAAAATACCCAAAAGAGAAAGCTGTCCACAGATAAATTGCGACAAGAAAATGGAGACTTCAGCATAAAAAAATATTTCAAAACTTTCCAAAAAACAAAGAAACCTGTAGATGAATTTATACTGTTTACCAATCGGCTGTTCAAATATGAGAAGGATGCAAAATTTCAGTTCGGAGAAGGTCTTCATATTAAACCTGTTAAATCTGAAGACAGCCTAAAACTTTCAGACGAAACAAGTGAAGTCTACCAATTTGAAATAGTAGAAGATAATCCGACGGTAGAAAATATTCAAGAATATAAAAACTTTTTCGGAAAATTTTATCTTTATACCAATCAATACAATCTTGAAAAACTGAAAAATGCAACTGCTAACAAATTCCGGGCAACTTATCCTTCAAGTGAGAACCTATTTAGTAAATTCATCGAAACAATATCTGCGTGGAACATGCAAGAAGGGAAAAAAGAAACACTAAACAAAATATGGACACAACGGGTAATTTCGCTGCAGCTTTTGTCACCTCAAATTAAGCTTCTCTCTTTCGGTTCAGTCAACGATAAAATGAAAATTTTTCGGGAAGCGATTTCCTTGTTTGATATTGCATTATTTGAAAAGGAATCAAGCGAAACGATCAAACTACTGTGGGGTGACGTTAGGGAAAACGAAAACATTGAAAAATTAAATCAAGTAAGGAAGAGGTATCTACCTGCAGTCAGTAATATCGATAAAAGCAACGTCAGCAGTATAGGTGCAGAGGCATTGAGTTTGTTGTTGTGGTTGACTGGCAAATGTCCTTTAATATTAGTTGACTGTAAAAATTTCGAAGAGGTGATTCAGCTCTGGCCAGACGCAAAGTTCGTATTGATCGGTCAAAGCAAAAATGGAGAGTGGATGAAAAAGTATTCCGTGTTCCAAAACCTATCACACTTGAGCAAGAAACAAGACCTGAGCAAAAAATTAATGCAAGAGTTTACCGTATCAATTCAAGGAAAGGACGAACTTGATCTTGTGACAGCTTTTGGCAGCGATGAAGGTTCTTTACAAAATGTTACAACTGATACTTTAGTGGAAATGGTTAACGGTCCATGCCATATAAGGGTGTGGGGACAAAAAATCTGCACAAATTTCAAACTAGAATAACTGTATTATAAAAGCAGGTATTAATAACGTGATCAACAACATTTATAAAAACAACTTTAAAGAACACAATCTGCACCATATCTACTTGCTTTACGAATTTTTGTTTTAACACGGCGCATTAAATTTGTAAAAGCCGATATTTTTGTTTGCCGTATTTTCAGCAGTATACGCTTCTTTAATTCTGCATCTGTCGAGGCTTCCCATCCATTTTCGTACCCATTTCTCTTTAGGTTTCTCCAAAAACGTTCAATTGGGCGTAGTTGAAGTACGTTGGGAACATTTTTGTCCTTAGGGATAAAAGGAATGCTTAACTCATTATATGCAGCAAAAACGTTAGCTGCGTAATGAGCTGTTGCCATGTCTGGCCAAAATACAAAATTGCCATCCGAATGCTTTTCTCTTATAAAGCGGACAAGTCGAGACCTAATGCACTGTTTTTCATAAATATCTGCATTAACAGAATTTCCAGATGGGCAAATAAACGCAGTAGAATGTCCACGTGACGAAATGGCCAACCAGACCAACAACTTGGACTGAAATTTTTTATAACGTTTGAATTTCACTTTATCATCTACTTCTTCTCCTTCCTTGCAATAGAAATGTTTATTGTTAGCAGTATCGCTACCATCAAAAGTGAAGTAGGATTCGTCATCGATGATTATTTCAGTTCCATTTGAGGGGGAAAAAGCGGATTCAGAAAGATGCCTTAATTTTCGTTTTTGTTCCAACTTTTGTTTTTCTGAATATTTAGGGGCGAATTTTCGCGTTGCAAGTTTGACATTATTCTCCTTTAATATGTTGCTAACATACTTTTTGTCAATTTTAAATTTCGGTCCAATCTTTCTTAGTGAAACACCAAGTTTACCGTGACTTTGATTGACTAAGGCTTCTCTCTTCTTCTGGGACATTTTTCTTGCTGGTCTTCCGCTTCCTACTTGTCTTTCTACCGAATTCCCATTCTCTACTCTTCTGCAAATGCTATAAGTTGTCCTTTTTGATATCCCCATTTAGAAGAAGTGATTAACGGTGAATGACTTTTTTAAATGCATAAGCCTTCTATAAAATTCGGCAATCACAGATCGGCGATCATTTTCATTTAAGTGTTCCATTATTACAAAAAATATTGAAACTTTCAAGAGGAACTAGGCATAACAATTTTTAACAACTGTAAAAAAATGTTATAACGTCAACCGTCATTTTTCTCAAAGCTAACTCGATTTTCGGTGAATTAAAATTTGTGCAGATTTTTTGTCCCCACACCCTTAGGTGGAGAAAAGGAAACACTACCGAAACCTTATGTACAACGATATATTTCGCGAAATGTTGTTAATAATACATATTTAGAAAA